AATACACATATTAATTTACACTATTTGTAGTACACCCGAACTGGGTGCCAGACGCCGAAGTCCTGCCTGTGGATGTGTGCACCACAGGTGTTCTTCTGCTGGGAGGTCGCTACGCCTTGGTCTTGCTGGGTCAGTTCGTGCCCCTCCGGAGCCATCACAGGTACTCCGGCTCCTTTGGCACCTCTGGCTCATGGAGGTGGCCCAGACACCAAGTCCGCAGAGATGCACAGCTCCCTCCCGAACCCCAATTGTGGCCGGAGAGCGGTCCTGCACTGCACTGCACTGCACACTCAGCATGCCTACAGGACCAGAGACGTGTGGCAGCCCGAGTCGTGCTTGGGGTGGGCGACCAGGATGGCGCGCAGTGCAGCAAGCGTGCAGTTACACTGCCCCACACGCCTGGAGTGATGCCTGTACCAGCTACACACAGCCGCTTTCAACCGGCCCAGCAAAATGTATGTCAAATGTCCCCACAATGTTATAAGAACCTGTAATTTTGACAATGTGGGAACCCCTAACCCTAACCGCTGTTAAAATGCCAAGTCTTTGTGATGTAAAAAAAATTAGACCATGATAAATCATTTAAAGACTTTTCTGACCTTTAATGTGAAATCTATACAATTCAATTGAAAAACAAACATCCGTTAGGGGGAAAATATAAAAAATAAAAAATGTACAATAAGCTGGTTGCATAAGTGTGCACACCGTTAAACTAACACTTTGTGGAAGCACCTTTTGATTTAATTAACACATGCAATCTTTTACAGGTACATACATGCCATCAATTTTCACTTTAATTTAATTTATCACTCTAATTAACCCCAAACAAAGTTCAGTTGTGCTAGTAGGATTTTCCTGACATTTACTCAGTTACATCCTACAGCAAAAGCTACGGTTGGCAGATAGCTTACAGTGCATCGAAGGGGTCTCATTGTTGCAAGGTTGCAATGACCTACCGTGTGTGAGGCTTCCTGCCTAGAGCGTAACCTCCCCACATTCGCCTGCCATGTTGTCTCTGTGTTATTGTTGCTTATTGTGTGGTCTTTCTGAGGAACTTAATAGCAATGCGTCTCTCCTCGTCCTCATTTGCCACTGCCACGATGCCCTGGTCTGCCTGGCATTACATTGGTGTCAGAAGTGGGATGCCCCACTGGGCCACTGGTCAACATTCTGGTTCCAGCCTGGCAGAGCTGCAGACATCGGCGAAGCAGTGCATCCGGAGAGGCATTGCTTATACTCTGAGGACGACTCGGGGGGACTGTGCCGCGACTGCGAGGGCTGGCTGACCCAGCAGTGCCAGAAGCTAGTGTAGTGTGACATGACCTGGGAGCCCCGTGAGCTGCCCCGGAAGATGGCCTGTGGGGAGCTGCGGCATTAGGCCACCCAATCCGGGGAGCAGGAGGGACAGCAGGTCCCGTCTAAACCGTATAAAGGGTTGGTGGCCGCTATGGTTGGTGGTCAGGGGGAATCACCGATGCCAGCGCCCACCAGTAGCCCAGCGTCTGCTAGCTTTGCCAGCGCTTGTGAATGGATGCTCCCCCCTCCTTTGGAGATGGTGCACCGGCAGCTACCACTAGACCTTGTCATACTGTAGAGCTGAAGTGGGGACTGGGGGTGGTGGTCACCAGGACGGCTGCACTTTGAGGAGAGGGGAAGTGTGGCTTTAGCGTATCCCGGCTCGCAGGCCATGTATATAGCCCCTGTGTATGTCTTGTAAATCGTGGTATGTGTTCGTTAGTGTAAATGCTTAAGATATTGCGTGTATGCTTACCTGTGTAATCCTGACCTGTTCTAGTGTTGTGTAATCTGTGTTACGGTAGCTTATTGTTCGGCCCTTTTAAAGACTGATATAATAAAGGGCCACTTTTGTGTCAGTCCGTCTTGTCGCGATGCTTCGGTCTGCCTGGCTTTACATTAAAATCTGTTGATCTTAAAAAAAAGCAGCCTATCCTTATAAATTCACTCGTGACATATTTGAATATAGCATCGCAATAAGGAAAGCTGAGTCGCAAGAGGATAAGCGGATTTTTTTTTATTCAGAAAAAGAGGTAAAACTTGCCGAGCTTACGTGTTAGTTACCATTAGTTAAATGACCTTACATCGTTTTTTATTCTGTGGAAAACAAGAGATCAATCTACAGGTAGGATTTAATAAATTATAAACATTTACCGGCCGCTATTTCGTGCATCTGCATATTGTTTGTTCCATCTTCATAAACACAGTAGGCATATATAATGCAAAATAATACGAAGAAACAAATAAAGAATCATGAGAGAAAATTGCGCTTTCGATTCCGAGTTTAAAATAATCCTGGTCATATTTTACCCAGGATCGTGCAGCTGCATGATTATTGCCTATATTTTTTATTGGGTGAGTAAGAATGATGTGCAGAATGCATCGGAATTAAAAGTCGTTAGATGAATTCAGATATTGTGTGGCATCAAGTAATGGGACAGTTAAGCTATGACAAGTTTATTTCCCGGCTAAAGTAGATCCAATTAGAATAGTTGTTATTGGGAGCTGGTATAGACAGCACATGATCCGAAAAACACGATTTTATTGGTCTGAGGTCACAGTTGAGGATGAGGTAAGCATTTTGCGGGAACGTCACTCAGATGCTCATGTGCTTTTGATTGTATCAATATTAAGGTTGTAAATCTGTTATAAAAATGCATTGCACCTAATTTTTATGTAATTATGTCTATGATTATATTACTGCAGTAAATTAAATACTTTAAATTGACAAAGTTCTATTAAATTTTTTTAACAGAGTTATTTTTCAGCTGTCCCACTTTACCAATATAATTAGGGAAAGAGGGACAGTATGTTTCAGGTCATGTGGGACAGTTTTATAGGCTTTCCCAAGAAGAGAGAAAGTACATATTTGATAGGATGGAGTCCCAACTCCTAAATATATTAAGTAACTATACATAATATATAAATAATTATATTTATTCATTTATGAAATGGGAAAAAATTGCCAACTTGAATTTATTAAATTGTTTTAGTGTATGATGGCACCAAGGCAGAGAGAGGCAGAAAAGAAGGTTAGAGAGGTGAAGAGGCAGGAGGACTAAATGGTTACAAGCAACTGCAGTTTTTACTGTTATTATAAGCTTTACATGTAGTTTAAGCTTTACATGTAGTATAAGCTTTACATGTAGTTTAAGCTTTACATGTAGTATAAGCTTTACATGTAGTTTAAGCTTTACATGGTTTAGGTATTTTCTACAAAACAAAATCCAAAATGAAATTAAATGTAATGGATTTAGACTTTTTTCAATTATTCTATTTTTGATAAATTAATCAACAATTAATGTTCAACTGTTCCTTAAGCTGTTTTGTCTATTAAACTTGCAAAACCCTTTGCAAAATATTCAGTATTGATGTATTGCACCTATATTCAGTATTGATGTATTAAATAGTGTGAGTGTGTGCACCCTTCTGGTTTGTTGGCGTCTGCCCAGGGTTGGTTCCTGCCTGCGCCCCTTGTACCCGGGATAGGCTCCAGTCCCCCCTGCGACCCCAGTTGGGATTAAGCAGTTTCAGACAATGGATGGATGTCTGGATGTATTAAATAAATGCCTGTCCCACATTACCAAACTGCCTGTCCCACATTACCTGAAATGCGTCCCACTTTACCTTACGGGTGCAGGGAGTATATAGACCTGTATCACAGCCCCCATAAGCAAGAAATTTCATTTTTTTCTTTTCATGTGATAAGTAGACATCTTAAGGATTGCAGAAAGGCATCATATGTTGGTTAAGTAAATTAGATTAATGTTTAGATGGGCACTAGAAGTCAAAATGGCCCACTTTCCTTGAATTCACTATATTTGGCTCAGAAATGTAGCAAAGTGAAAGTAAAGTAGCAACAACGTAAACGCTCAAAGCAGAAATCCGGAAAAACCTACTTAAGTACAGTAACGAAGTGTCACACCTCTGGGAAAGGGGGGGGTATTACCGAAATACTGCCCAAGCATTTCCAGTACCGTGCCTCCCGGTCGTCGCTCATTTGCCTCCCAGAAGCATAAGGTGGGATATCTAGTAATATTATTGATAATAAACCTAAACCGAGACTTCTGGCACCGAAAATTGTGTTGCACTCTGATTTTCACGACACTCATATTTACTGTGACGAAAGATGTTTTCAGACTTTTCGAAGTTCGAAGTGTCACCTTTTTTACAAATGTCGCTGTCAAGCAGGTTATTCATTCACATTGTGATCTGCTGGATGGAATTTGAGCCTGGATGCGACTTGACTGTGATAATGTGTCTTTCCCCTTAGGTGTAGCCTATAAAACACAATTATTATTATTATATGTTGTTATATAATAATATTATTATCGTTGTTGATTATTGTATAGCTGAGTCTTTCAAGTTATGAATGGATCAGCTCTCAGCTTTAATTAGTTCATTCAGCTGAATTTGTGCAGTAGCCGAATCCATGTCGTCACAGCTGGTTTCAGTCTCACAGAACATTTGGTTAAACCACAATCAGAAATCAGACTGATCAGTCTCATTTTTATCGTTGCATACCGCCCTCTACTGGTGGGTCTTGAAAAACAGGTTCCGTGAGTGGCGTTATCAGCTCGTTAAAACCACCTTCTTTTGGGCTTTCCTCAACCAGTGCTTTATCCTCCCGTGAGCCTTTGGTGCCATGTGCAGATCCGCGGGGGTGGGTGCGGGCATGGGGGGACTGTGACCCTCATACTGGGAAGGAAAACACGGCAACAGTTTACTGAAGCTGCTGAGATCTGAGCATATGCTCACTTTACTCACCTCTGGAGCTGATGCTGCCTAGAGCTGTTCAGTAAAGCAGCAGGGTTAAAATCAGATGTTTTCACCTGCAGCTCCTTGATCACAGCGCCATCTGGTGGCAGCAGCAGTCCTGCCTCCTGTGTATCCCTACCCAGGTAAGACCTGTGCTGACTGGGTCAGACTGTGTATCTCTCTGCCCACAACTGGAAACATTTTTCAGCAGCTTCAAACACGATGGCAAAAGGCCAATAAATATCTTTATTTAATGTCAGATTCTTATATCTCATTGATTTTTACAGGTGTTATAAATGCTGGAAACATATTCTCTCGTACTATATTTTTCTGTTAACAAATAAATAAATATATATATATATATGTATGTATGAGACAAAAGAACAGCAAGTTGAAATGTTTCATCGTCTTCCTGCCAGCCTGCTTTGGGTGTCAGAATACCAGCTAAACAAAGGGTAACAGATATGAAGGCGACAATTGTTATAATAAACAACAGTGCATCACAGGTGACTGAAACACCTTTGATATAACCCATAGTGCTGTACGACGATACCAAAACACACTTGAAAATGAAGAGAAACCCAGTATAAACACAGATACCAGCTGGCTGCAGCCAATCAGAAACTCCCCTGGCAACTGATATATATCTGATTGGTTTGCAGCAAATCAGAGATGCTGCTTCAGCCAATGAGGGGGACATTTTCACCCTCCTCCCATCGTTTTGATATTTGCCTCTATGGCTTTGTACATTGTATATGTTGAGCAGATTTTCTGTTTTGCTGGAAGCAGCTTCTCTATGATTGATCCTTACATCCTTAGGCTTTTGTTGATGTGTCTAACAGCAGTGTGTAATTTCAAAATGTCTGCAACTAAACGTAATTATTCTACTTTGGAGATTGCACAGTGTATGTCAGCAGACTGGATACACACACACACACACACACACACACACACACACACACAAAGGTTGCTGAGAATGTTCTGAAAACCCCACCCCCCCTGGTCACTGCTGCACGGCTGAAGTGTACGGGCCTGGCTCCAGTGAAGGGGGGCTCTTGCATCTCACTGGCTCCAGCCCTCACTGGCTCACATTCCCGCCCTCTCCTGCCACTTTTGCCCCTCCCAAGAGGCCCGATGGTGGAATAATGGCAGCGATCAGCGCTTCTGGGGTGCTGACCTCAATAACTGGGGTACCCGGTGGGCCGGAGCGGGAGCAGCCAGGAGGGGGCGCTGTGGGGCTATCGGGGGAAAGGAGCCGCTCCTTCCAGGCGGTGGTGGCCCGTGGGGAGGGGCTGCGAGGCCCGGTGTCACGGGAGTGAGGGCGGGGCCGCAGGCCGAGGCCCTGCAGCGTGGGCAGGGCGGGACTGCGGCTGCGGCTGGACTGGCGCGTCTTGGCGGCTGCGGGGCTTGGGCTGCGCGACTGCGGGGGCAGCAGCTCTAGCGTGCTGTCATCCTCCGTGCTGCTGGCCGAACTGCCCTTCCGGCTGAGTGCCGGGCTCTGAGACGGAAGCTGCATCTGTGGGAAGGAAGAGGGACAGCAAAGGCTTTGGCGTTGCCGTGCTGCTCATGGAGACGGACGCTAGCGGCGGCTCGTGGGAGGGAGGAGGACCTGAAAGGGCTGCGTCAGTCCCACAATGCTGTTCAGGTTGTGGCTGTAGTAACCCAGCATGTACTCCCCGGAGCCCTTAGGCAAATCCTCCTCAGAAAATGTCACCTTGAGAGAAGGAAAGATAAGGATGAGGGAAGAAATGAGTGAAAGAGGGTTTGAGAAAGAGCTCAACAGGGCCAAAGGACAGAATGACTGACACGACATGCATGTGAGTGAAAACCCAGCACTGACCATGTAACTGCTCACCTTGTGCTCATGGGACTGATGGTCAGAGTCCTCCTGCCTGGTCCAGATGTAAGAGGCGTAGTCTTTGGGATGCCTGAATCCTACCTAGGGAAGCATGGTTCTCCAAGTCAAACTCAAGCAGCTTCACGAAAAAAGACACGAACACCTCCAATGACAAAACACACCTTCAGTGAGTCACAGACTCTACCTGGTCTCAGAAGAATCAGTGCAGTTCTTTGAAATTCTACTTAAATAATAATGGAAACACGAACCGATATTTTAATGTCAGGGACCTATTGTAGAGTAGGGCCACCCTTAATCTGCAGAGCAGCTTCAGTCCTGCTTGGAATGCTGTCATACTTGTCCTAAGCTCGGCGTAGCGGGATATCGTACCATTCTTTACTGTGTACTCTAGAACCACCCTTAACGGTTCAATGACATAAAAATCTCATGATCAGTGAGGCCAAGGAGGGTGTTTGACTTTAATCTTGATGTTAAGCTATGCATATGGGGACATTATCTTTTGGGAATGTGGGAACAGTGGTCACACTGGCTCCTGTAAGATGGCCTTAGCACATACATCCGTTGACTGTCTCCAATCGTATGCCATAAATGTCAGTGTTGGAGAGATGGCGAAAGAGAACTCATCAGGCCACTGCTAAGGGCACCGTACACCAAGTTGTGTGTCTGTGCATCAGCCTTGGATGCGAGCAGTTTTCTGCATGGAGACCTCGCTGTAATCGCCAGCTTTGTAGAGCTTTTTGCTAAGTCTGGGTCAAAGAGCTGCTCAAACAGTTCTGTGATCATTTTTGGTGTTTAGCACCTACGCGGTAAAGTGTCCGTCTGTCCCTTTCGGTGAGTTTCGACTAGTGACCCCTGTTCCCTTTTGCCAGCATTTGGCCATGTGTCTGTCACAATTGTTGGGACTGTTCCCCTTATCAAACAAAATAATTTAGCAGTTTCTGGTGTCAAAAACAGGTGCAATTTGGACAATGACTACTGGCCACTTTGGAACTCTGTTAGTTGCTTCATATTGCTTTGAAAATTCAGAGATCACATGTATTACTAAGTGGCATTCAAAAAAATACAACTCACTGCTGTAACTTTTCCATGTGATGTTTCCATTATTTTGTCCACTCACTGTAGCTTAACTAACTTTGGGTCTCAGAGCATAAGTAAGGCATGAGAGAAGATTACCTTGTAGAGTGCAATCCAGTCCCATGTGCTGCGCGACAAAGACGAGGCCACTTGGAAGCTAACAGAGGCATCCGACACCTTGGTCCACTCTTTATCGACTGAGAGAGTTACCAGGGGGACATCCATCTTAAAGGGAAACTGTTTTCAAACATCACACCATGTGGCATGTCAGCTCAGAAGCAGGTTGAGAAAAGTATGACAAAGCAGTTATGTTTGTCTGTTACAGGCGTAAGCAAACATGAATGTAAATGAACATGACTGTACATGAACACATGTCTGTAATCAAACATGACTGTAAACACACAAATGACTGTAAACTACCACAATTGTAAACACAACTTCATGAACACATGACTGTAAACAAACACGACTGTTAACAAACACAACTGTAAGCTAATATGACTGTTAACAAACACAGCTGTAAACAACTGCATGAACACAACTGTACATAAACAAATGGCTGCAAACAAACATTACTGTACACAAACACATGACTGTACACAAACACATGGCTGTAAACAAACACAACTGGACAAAAATACATGACTATAAACTAAAAAGACTGTACACAATAACATGACCATAAATATGACGTGTAAACACATGAACATAACCATGAATAATCATTGCTGTAAACAAACACATGAAACAAGGTGTGCAGCGACCTTACCTGTAGGGAGAAGACGGCGCTGATGGGTTTGTGGTCGCTACAGGTGTAGCCCATGTGGCTGCGGTAGGAACGCTGCGTGACCCTCAGCCCGGGGCTCAGCCATGACGTTAGACCACGCCGCACCGTGGGTGGCTGGGCTGGGCCAGGTGAGCCGGCGGCCCGCAGACGCCACAGCACGCGGTCTGTCCAGGCTGGCTTGCGCTTCTTCGTGCTGGGTTGAGACAGACAAACAGGCAAACGGGTGATGCAACAGCTCCACCCACTGGTGAGACAAGGCTATGGCAGGCCAGCTATACCCTACCTGGTGTCGTAGGTGTGTGTACCCACATCAAACTTGTAAGTGGGAGGAAAGTTCAGGGGTCCCTCCTGGAAGCCCTGCAGGACTGCCTCACATGCTTTTGCCTTGTTCAGCTACAACACAAACGGCACGGGAGCCTCAGCCAGAGTCGTCAGGGCAACGGCAAGCAGACAAGACGCTACGCTCCAAGCAGGTGTTTGTGATCCGTGGCAGCAGAGTATACAGATGGGCAAGATTACAGGGGACTATAGGAAAGTTTATCATTGCAGAGCAGGACATTCTGTTGTACCTTTTAGTTAGGATCTGAACTGGAATGTGTCATGTTATGGAAGCGTGAAAGCTGCAGTTAAAAACAGCTCGGCGCCCCCCAGTGGTATGCTCTGGGAACAGTCGGCCATGAGCCTCACCTGGTCCTTCTCCCAGAGCATTTGAAGCTTGCTGCTCTCTATTGCACTTTTCACAACATGTGTGTCGTAATCCTCAATGCGAAAGTTAAGGTCCCCAAACCAGAACACCAGACTGCAGGGGAGCGTCAGAGGTCACACACATATACTGTACGTACACACACACACACATATACTGTACGTACACACACACACACATACTGTACGTACACACACACACATATACTGTACGTACACACACACACACATATACTGTACGTACACACACACACACATACTGTACGTACACACACACACATATACTGTACGTACACACACACACACATATACTGTACGTACACACACACACACATACTGTACGTACACACACACACATATACTGTACGTACACACACACACACATATACTGTACGTACACACAC